GGCCGGATTATGGATGGAGACTAGAATACTTATAAGGCCGAGCTCACTGCTGCAGAGCTGGCCTACGTATCCCCTTGTCTCTCCACCGACACTGTGTGTCAAAACAACGAAATAAAAGCCACAGTAAACAGCTTTGGAGTACCTCGAGCCCAAATAGCTTTTATTTGTGTCAAACTCATTGTTGGAGATCGGCAGACGGGAGCAGAGTGACCTCCGTCGACGCTAATGATGACAAACGAGCGAGCCGATGAAAATTTCACGACGATCGTATAGAGATGTGAAAACAAGAGGGGAGTTTATGTGCAGCTCGTTTATGAGACTTGAGGGGAAATGGTGATTACAAATGGATATACTCGACTTACTGTCCGCAACCTCCCTTGAAAACAATTTTGTGAAAAAGCTGTCATGTGCTCGGTTTGTAAATGAGGTGAAAACGACTGGAGCTCAAACTCATTGTTGGCATCTGGTCTGTGATGCAGTGCTTATATTCTCGGGCGAGGGAAAGTGGAGGAAGGCCGTGGAGGCAATAACAAATCCACACTCTCATAAAGGGGCCTCAGAAGATTAATTCCAGTAGTCTCTGTTTAGCTCATTATACATGTTCCAAACCTTTACTGAAGTCCTTGTGCCGTACCCTGGTGGTTGGTGGTCAGTGGGTCCACCCTGCCGCTGTAGGAACACTAACATGCCAGCTCACACCACACCGTCCTCCATTCTCAAGTTTAAAAGTAGCACTGGTTTCCCAAATCCTCTTGGCACTTTATTATAGTGAGCCTTAGTTTATTGATGGTAAATTCATCCCAGGACCCCCTTTAACCCAGCAAAGGGAGCCAGATTGTGTCGCGCATAACATGTAATTAGATTTTTATACTCTGTTGTTGTTGTACTTGTTGCTCTCTGGTTAGAATTAGCATTAGCACTTTTTTGACTGTGGCAGCACTGGATCAGACGTCAACCACTCACAGAGACGTTGGTTAAGTAACACACTACATCATCCTTTCCTTTGTTTTCCGTAGAAAGTGATGGAGCACTTTTTAAAAAGTGCTTTATAAATAAATCTGAGTTGATTTGACTCGACTTGACCAAAATCCTCTGGGCTTTAAGCTGAATAAAAGCCATCGGCTCACGTTGGTGTTCACTGTGTCACAACAGCACATGTCACAGGTGCCCAGTGCCCACTCGCATTTCATCAAACCTCCACAAGCACATGTTAATATGTGGAAAACACTGCATGTTTATGCTGATTGAATTTCTGGACAGCTTGTGTCTGACTCACTAAGACACCACTGGGTCATGACTTTCAGGGATATGGACTTGAACCTGCCCCACTTCTTGTAGCCCATAGCAACGTTAAATCAGCATTCATTTTCAGTCATATTTATGAGCACTTGGAGAATGTAAGTCCAATATTCACTCTCCGTTTAGTGGTGTACAGTGTTTTTACTAAAAGCAGCTGATAAGAGCTGTGAGACTGAACCAAAACAAAAGTTCCAGGCAGTAAAACCAAAGCAACGAGTGGAAACGTTTAAAGTGTTTTTAAGTGTCTTCGGAGAGCTGAGGGGAATGGGCGAGTTCGGGTGATAATTCTTTGCCAGTTCATTACTACAAACACTCCCTTTGACATTTCATGTAGTCATTTAATCCATTGGTAATATAAAAATATTGATTACAGCAGCTTTAAACTAGACTTTTTATATGAAATAAAAGGTTTTAGTATTTAGAACCAATGTGTCCTACACACACATTTAGTTTGTATATGCAATCTAATGTATAATGTCAATAATCTGACATTATACCTTTAAACTAAACTGAAAAGCGTGTTTTTACTTTACCTGCACTTATGACACTGACTGTTTTACAAAAGAAGACCAGGTAACATTTTTTATTAAAAGACCACAACTACAGTCTGTTACAGGGGCATTTATAATTCATTTTAATACATTCATAATGTTTTATGACTACACTCATAAACACTCATACACATATCAACAGTCATAAAACAGATTGACTTCTAGACTTATAATAAATTATAGGTTCAAGTCTCTTATAGATGGTACGTTAGAACACCCAAACTCATTGATTTCATCCCATAGTGAAAAAAACAGCTTGACAAAATGTATTCTGGATTTATCTATATCCCATAAGCACACAAAGCAGACACATTTTACTTGTAAATCTCTGTATTTTGATGTCCTACATACAATAATGATGCAGGCATGCATTCTTTTAAATGTATACAATGAACACTGAACACATACAATGATAACCTATGATACTGCATGGACTATTATAGCATACTATAAGTTCTTACTGCAGTTGATTGTTGGGGTGTGTATATGAGTATAGCTAGCCATAACGTATTATAAGCCCCATCCGTCAATGCAGACATTTTGACGTCATGTTGTTGATAACACATAGAAAGCGGGGAATTTCACATGTTAATATATGGAGAACAACAGAGCGTGCTTTACATTTGCATGTTGTTTTTGCTGTAGACATTTCAACCTCAGCTGACTGAGGGAGCATTATGGTGTCTTTTTGCTATTTCACACCCTACAGATAACACCAATATAAACGACTGTGCTGTGAAACTAGAAACCACCTGTCACATTTGCTAAAAGCCGAAACAACAGCTCTCACCTTCTCTTGCACTACATCAACAACGTGGCGGGAACTCCATAAACCTACAATAAGATAAAAATGCTGTGAGCCTTCATCCCCAAAAGTCATGGACTAATAATGAGAGTCTGTCATCCTGCTGTAGCCTGGCCTCTTCAAGTGGAGCAGGTAAATATTTAGTGAGGACTGTGATTGCTGCCGGCCATGGCCCATTCATCTCTGTCACCAAGTAATAATGGAGGGCCGCAAACACTAATGTGAGAGAGGGAAAACATGAGAACATGCTCTGCAGAGGAAGACTGTTTGCATTGCTTCAGTGCAATTGACTCCATCCCTCAATTGTGCGCTAATGAGTTTTTATCTTGACTTAGTGCTGCGTTGTGGAGTCCTTTTAACAATAATGTTCAACTGTAAAGTATTTTATAGCTCAAATAATGCTGTTTGTGCTGATTAGCGCTCCCTTTCTAAACAGGTTGTCGGTGTGAGAACACAGCCACTGCCAGAAAGAAAACCTTTATAGAACGGGCTCGTGTTCATGGTTCTGTTTTCCATTAAGAGTATACAAGTAGCTCTGTGAACAGCCATGGCTCCAATCCAAGGAAATGTTTCTGCAGGCTCCATTAAAGATGGATCACTTCAAATGGTAATGTCAGCCACACCGGACGACTCCTATTGGCTTCCCAGGGGTCAGCTGGCGGGAAGATCCTCCTCTGCACTTAAAGGCACGAGGTAAATATACATCTGTGTAAACAAGCGTTGACTGACAGTCCAAGGGGGTGTCATGGGAGCACAATAAGGAGGGAATAAGGCCTCCATATGTGGATAAACACAGAGGGGAGGGACGTGTCCTGCCCTGCACAGTCTTGCTCCTGTAGGGAGAGTGTCTGTGTTTGCCTGTCAGACAGGAGAATAGGGAACAAGGACTGCTTGCAGGGTCAGTGGGAGCGGCTTTAAAAACCTCCTTTGTGCTCTTGGGCCTGCGTCGGAGACAATGCGGATAATGAGGGAGGAATTTGGCACAGTGCACACACGCACACACACAGTCATACACACACATGGGAAGCACCTCGCCCCGGCCCCGGGGAGCCCAACCAGCCAGCTGTCTCAGCTTCTGTCTCCACGGGGCAAGACACTTTATACACATGGATCCACCATCAACTGACATGATTGATGTCACTGGATACACAGTGTGAGCTGTTCAAACTCTCCATCATCTGATAAGAATAAGTGAAACTTCTTGGACCTCATTGTCTGTAGTTTTGTTTTCAAGAGACATCAAGTGGCTGGGAGCAGAATGGTTTTTATTGGTAGAGAATAGTGCTCCTGATCTCAATCAACATGTTTCACAGTCATTTATTTCCAAGTCACAGCCATGCAAGAACATTAAGACATTAAGTCAACTAAAATTCCTCATTTCTCTTTCTTTTTAGACCATATTTTGAAAAAAATATTTTAAGTTCAGCTTTAAAGAAGCTGGCCAGAGTCCAGCATTGTGTTACTGTGTCAACCTGGTCACTTTCCAACTCATATTCTTTATTTATTGCCATCATTTAAATGAATGTCAGGTTTACAAGTGTGTCCTTTGCTCATAAAGTGCTGCACGCCTCCAGCAGCTAATCAAAGGAGAGCAATATGGCTGTCGATACATTAACATGACACTGTAGTGTACTATAGGAAACATAATTATTCTCACTTTAGTTTTGAGGATACAAACAACGATGTGTATTTGATTATCATTTTTAGGATTCAACATAAATCTTTCCAGGAACAGCTGCAAAGGAATTGTTTAAGTAATGTCTGGATTTCTGTATATTGTTTTATACTTAAATAACTGATATAAGTATAGAGAATTCTAGACTTCTTTTAAGACAGTTTTGAGAGCACTGTGGTGATTCAGAAGTGATTCAAGGTTTAGATCATTTTCAGTTTATGTACAGGCCTCACAAAGTGGATACAAACAGTTCCCCTGCAGCTGTTCCTGAGTAAATGAGGAGAATCAAACAAACAGCAACACTTTTCATCACTCGGTGTAAATGTTTGTGTTCGAGAAATCATGCCTGACACACATGCAGCATACACTGCTGCTGCAGATCCCAAAGTGGGGCTCAGGGATCTCCGTTAGAACCTTGGAGGTGGCACAGTAGAGAAATGGTTTAATTTCACTGTTATTTCATCCGCTGATTACTGTTTGGATCCGATGATTTACTCCCCTTTCACTGGAAATGAGCACTTATGTGAGAGGAATAAAAGGAATACAAGGTTTATTGATATCAGATGTTATCAAATGGGTGTCTGTGGCCTTGTGTATCTATTTGGGAAATGAAAAGTGTAGAAGCCCACGCTGGAGCTCGTCAGACCTCGGCGGGGAGGGACTTTCTGGACACTGCGCAACAAGTCCTGGGGCGCAAGAAGTGGATGATGAGAGTGAATGACAACAAGGCATGCAGTAGCTCAGACAGGAGACGGATCTATACTGGATAATTAGGTACGATTCTTTTTCATATCTCACCCACATATTTCATTCATGCTGCCGCTCGGAAATGATGTGTCGCAGTAAAGTTTATCCGGACTTTGAAAGCGCGCCGTTGGAAGTTTTCCCCACACATGCCGCGGCACCGAAAATAGTTTGGAGGACTTATTATAACCCAGAATGGCGAAGATACACCGTTTCACACCCCTGACGCATTGCATTTCTCTCAGATTTAATCGCAGAAATAGCGCTGAAAGTTTGCCGCTGTTGGGAACACAGCAGGTGACCAGCGGGACAGCTCGATCCCAGGCTGGACCTTAATGTAACGGAAGGCAACGTGAAATGGTCCCGACTTGTCACAGAAGCTGGGAGGACATCACTTGAACGGATTTAAAAGAACCTCGGTCCACTATGAGAGCGCTGTGCTTGTTGTGCGTAATCGTGGGGCTGTGGGAGTCGAGCCTGAGCAACAGAAACTGTCCGGACCTGATCGTTGACAGCTGTCACTGCTCGGCGGAGAGGTCCAAGGAGCTGAGCAGGCAGCACGTCCGAGTCAAAGTTGTGTGTGATGATGTGGACTTGATGGACACCCTGCAGCCCAGTTTCTTACCCAACAGAACCGTTTCCCTGTAAGTAGGTTTCACTTTCATAGCACTGCCAGCTCATCCTACCTAAAGAAACACTAATTATCCTACAGGAGCAATATGTGTCCCAGGGGCCCAACCACATTTGGAAAATCTCATAGATTTAAATTTTGCATTGAATCAGATAACTATTTGATCTGGACTTCCTGTAGGACATAATTTAGTGATACATTTATTTCATTTTCTGGAATTGGGATGCTGCTAGTGGATGGATTTTTTCTGGGGGGCCTTGGAGCTCTCTAAAGGGCCCCTGGAGATCCTTAAATCCCTGTTAGAGGACCTGAAATCATGGGCAAGAGCATTAAGTGTTATAAATTGATTCCACAAGGTTAAACAGCCTTGACACAATTCATCAGTGTGTCTTTTAAATGAGTTTTAGATGGGTAGCAGTACCGTGCACGTTGAATAAATCAATAGCTGCGGATTATACTGTGCTGAATTTACAGAAATATTACAGGTACATATCGATACCCATGGATTAAAATGTCACAATAAGGTTGCTAAACTCACCTCAAATGCACTCCCATACAACAGTACAGTAAACGTACACATTAGGAAGGCAAAGAAAAACACATGACTTTAATTAGCTATGCTATTTTGCCATTGCATATCATTACAAACAGATATTTGATATAGATTTGGTATAATTTAAAACCATAATTATATCCCTGTTTCTATTAGAACTGAAACAGTTAATCATTTAATCAATTAGTCGATTGACAGAAAATTAATTGGCAACTCTGATAACTGATGTTCAGAGCCAAGGCCTTGTATCCTCATTCATGTGAGAATTTACTGCTTTTCTGTGTTGTACATCCTGTTTAATGGAATATGTTTGACTTTTGGACTGCTGGTCAGACAAAATGAGTCATTTCAATCAGAGAGAATTCATTTGTGAACAAATATATTCAATTGATATTAAAGAGGAAGAAAGTGAAGAGGAGAAAGGTGAAAAGTCTGTGGTGATTAGACCACATAGTGAAATGAGCGTAGTTGAAGGGTTTGGCGACACTGTGATTAGTATAGGAAACCTCCTGATGGAGTCTACACACTGGTGGTGATGATGATGAAGGGATGAAGAGGAAGATGTGAATGTGATGAAGATGGGACTACTGATGAGCTCATCCTGGGCGCTGGACTAGAAGAACTGGAGGTGAAATGACAGCTGAAAGCAGCAGAGAGGAGAACAGATTTAAGGTTTGACAGCAGCAACATGATTGACTGGAGGAGAAGGTGGCTATGTCTGATTGGATTAAGTGAAAGAGTGAACGCTCATAGCTGATTAGAAAGGAGAGTGAATGAATGAGGCATAATAAGAAGGTCTTCCTGATTGAACTTACGCTGAGCTTCATTTGAAGATGTCACCTTTCTCTCTCAGAATAGACCAAACATGTAAAGGAAAAAATAATCAACCGATTCATTGATAATTCAAATGATGATTATTATAACCTTTGTTTAATTGGGTAATCTTACTGAGATCAAGATGTGTTTTTGCGAGAACATCTGATTACAGCAGAATGAATACACACCAGTCAGCCACACACCAGAACATACAAACAGCATCAGACTACTCTAAAGAGTTCCAAAATGCAAGTTAGAATTCATCAGATGGGGTGAAACTTTTGTAATTCATTCAATTTATATGGTACACAAAAAAGGGAAGCCACTAGAACTGGAATAGTGGTAGTTCTCTCTTTGACCAGTCCACTTTACACAGTGATGAGTACGATATTTATCTTGCAGCCATACTATCGACACTATAAGATAGTTGGTGGCAGCAACAAGTCCTTGTAAAGTCTTGCTCTTGTTACTGAATCACTGAATAATAGCAAAGAAAACTACCGCTCAGTTATTGACCCGTAGTTGTCCCCAGAACCCACGTTTGAGAGCCACCGTCCCTGCGTAAGCCTCATTGCGGCCTCACCTGTCTCTTGTTGTTACAGTGGCCACCTCTGCATAAAGCTCTCACCTTTCACTGGCTCTTTGGGTATATCATTTGCATTATATTCAAAGTTATTCAAACATAGATTTTGCGCCTGGATGGGGAGAGACCTCCTTTAGTATTCATCTGTGCCTCTCTTGTAGATGAAATAGCACTTCAAACCCTCGAGGGGTTGATAACTTTCCCCACGCGTCCCCCCATTTTCTGCAGCTGTACAGATTGCTAGATTAATAGACTGTTTTATTCTTGGAAACTTGAGGTCTGCCTTCCGAGTGTAAAAGCAAATACTAAATGTAAAGGCCCTTGACAAGTTACAGCCGACCACTCATTCTGAACTAAGAGCACAGTTGATTAATGGTAGCACTTTGCTTACTGCAATTTATTTGGAGTGGTGTTTGCTTCCGTGTAGGCAGGGGTCCTTTGTTCCTTTATTTGGAGAATGGTTAAAGGCTTTGTTTTGTTTTCAACATTCATCAAAGCAGGCTGTTTTGTAGCTTGCAGGTACTAACGAAGTTTGATTTTTAAAGTGGTCTACATAGATAAATCACACTAAGACTTGAGGTTTGCCTTAACAATATACAGTAACTAACTGGATGCATCTTGAAGCATCTCTCTCACGGAATGACACCTTTTCCTCAGTTCACATGAGAAATGTGAGGTTGTGTGTGTGTGTGTATGCCGCTGTGTTATGATTAAACCAGTACAAATAAGCCTGTCCCTCACTCAGTTCTATTCCTTGGTAAACTAAATCCTACGGCCGAGCTCTAGCTGGCCAGGAAGCAGTTTTCCTGCGTTAGGAAATGTGACCTTTGTCAGGCTGAAGTGGCCTCCCTGCTCGCTCTTTTGTTTAGATGTGCTGTGCAAATAAACAGATATATCAGGGGAAGTATGCACATACCGAGCTCTCCCTGAAGACTGCCCCACAAATCTCCCAAATGTCTCCCCACATGCTCTCTTCTCCTGATCTCACCACCTACGTAGACTGAGCTCCTTGTAGAGCCATTTCCTCAATGACAACTCAAGCACACTGTCACGTTCAAGTAACCCAGATCCAAATGCCACCTCTAATTAAAGGCACAGATTGGGCTTTGTTGCTTTTTCTTTTTGCCCTTTATTAATGTATCTATAAAATGTTTATGAGGAATGAACTCTGCAATAATGCAGTGCCTTGCAAATGCCAAGAAAAGCAACTTAACAAGCAAATGAAAGAACATTAGCATAAATGAGAGAGATGAAAATGAACTGTGTGCAAGAGTGTGTCAGTAACTCTCTGGGTAGCGCAGTGCCCTCACTCCTCCGACGGTTTACCGTATCGTCCATGTGGGGGGGACTGGGAGTTGAGGAGTCTGGAGCTCGGCCTGACAGCTCTGTTGACCTTGGGACCTATCTGGTGTAATGGTATCAACGCTGCCGAGCAGCAGAGGCACTGCCTCTCTGCAGAGGGCAGCAGCTGAAATTGCAGCCGACACCTGTCTCAGGCAGTGCTCTAACGGGAGGACTCGCTGCTTGTCCGGGGGAGAGGAGGGACAGATTGTGGAAGAGACAAGGGGATAGAGTGAAGATGGGAGATAGACATGGAGAGGCAGCGAAAGAGCCATTAGAGGAATAGAGGGAGTGACAGAGGGAATGCTGGGAAAGCGGGGATGGGAAGTGTTGGGTAAAAACGTCACTTGATAGCTGCGACTGAGGCTGATTGAGGTGATGTGACAGATTGTTTGGACGGGGAGGCCCTTGCCGCACAGTAACAGCTGATTGTAACTGAGCGTCTGACTCTCCTCACTGCTGGAAACTGCATGCAAACAGATACACACTGTGAACTTACATAACTGGAAACTTTCTTACAAAGTTCTTATAAAGCTGCTGCTGTTTTCCCTCCTACTGAGCTGTTGTGTTGCAACCAGACCCCGGATGCATCATTTGCATATTGTTCTGACTATTTATTCTTACCTGCTGAGTGTATCTAGCCCAATGAGTGGGGTTTGAATTCAATATCTGTATTAGTTGAAGTCACATTTTTTTTAGTCTTGCAAGCAGCTAAAATGTTGCAGTAGACATTAATCTCACCAATAGTCTCAATAGGAAACCTAGCTGACTAAAAGTAGGGATGTCGCGAGAACTGATACTTTGGTACAAAGTCAACGCCAAAGCTTTGTAAAGAACGCCTACCAGCACGGAAGAACAACCGCACGTTGAAGATGGCAAAAAGGGGCAGCTGCAATGACGACTCCTGATGTTTCAATCAGGAGCTGCAGCGTCCCATTCTGGAGATCCATGCAATTCACTGACGGAAACTCAAGAAAACATATATAATTGAATTTTTCTATATTTTAGAATATATAATATTATTTTCCATCATAGTTTTAGTTGGCAAAATGAACGCTGGCAAACAGTGTAAAACAGAACACCAGTTATTTGCTACATTAGTGTAACAATTTATGATAGTTCCAGTTTGTAGTCAGGATTCATAAAAGGAAATGGAGCTTAAGCAGTCCTAAATAGGTATTTTGTGCTTTTTATTTTCATTTACATCTTTCAATTCTCTTAACTGTTGCAGCGCTGCAGGAGAGCTGCAGTGTTTCTGATTTACTGTACTTTCAGCTGCTGAAAGTGATCCTCTTCTGGATTTGTGCATGTTCTCTCATGGAACCATGCTAAGCTCCTCCAAAGCCTGGTTGTCTCCCGTTCGAAGGAGAGAAAACGAGGGCATTCGGTCTGGGCCAGGCTCAAATCTGGAGGTGTTTGGCATGAAGTAGCCTGCTCTGTGGGCCCTCATCATCATCATCATCCTTTCAGAGACAGACAGGAGGGGCTGTTTGCGGTGTCTAGAGGGAAATGATCAGGCTGGGGCCGTAGCTGGCTCCAAACCACTACAAGAACATGTCAGTCATCATGCGAGTGCAGAGAACGACCCAGGAGACGCCACAGGAAGCATGGCTGTAAAATAGCCCTTTGGGTTTTACATAATGTGCCGCTGCATTGTGGGTGGACAGTTTATGATAGCATGATCAAAGGAGTCAGATGTTAGTATTGATCTGTGTGCATC